ATGTTCAATTAATTTTTCACAAAGATACAAAAGCAATTCAATGGAGAAAAGAAATCTTCTCAAATGGTGCTTGAACAACTGTTTGTCCACAGGCCAAACAAAAAACAAACAAAAACAAAAACAAAAACCATAAACTTAACACATTCCTCACACCTCATAAAAAAATTAACTCAAAACAGCAAAATGGTTCATACTCCTAAACGTCTAGAAGACCACATAGGAGAAAATGTATGATCATAAAAGAAAAAAATTATAAATAAGACTTCATCAAAATTTAAAACTTCTACGCTACAAAGACACGGTTAAGAGAATAAATACTCAAGATTAAGACTTGGAGAACGTGTTTGCAAATTGCATATCCAATAAAGGTTTTGTATAGAGAATACACAAGTATTTGTGGATCTCAATATGAAAAAAGCCAATTAGAAAATGAGAAAAACCCTTGAGCTGACACCTAACCAAGGAAAGTATATGAAAAACAAAGATATGAAAAGATTCTTAACATTATTAATCATTAGGGAGATGAATATTAAAACCACAACTAGATACCTATTATAACAGCTAAAACAAAAGTTAAAAAATGAACAAAAATGTATGATGGCAAGGATGCAGAGCAATAGAAATTTTCAGTCATTGTTGGTGGAAATGCAAAATAGATACAATCACTTTGGAAAAAATATGGCAGTTTCCTATAAATATATTCTTACCATATGACACAGCAATCCCACTCCACAGCAATCCCACTCCTTGCCCAAATGAACTCAAAATTTATGTACACAAATGTTTATAATAGCTGTATTCATAATTACCCCAAAATGGAAACAACCAAGATATCTTTCAACAGGTGAACATATAACTTCTGCAACAAAATGAAGCTACTTATTCACCCAAACATGGATGAATCTCAAAAGTGTTTTTACATGAGAAATAATCCAGATCCAAAATGTTACCTACTATATGCTTTCATTTATATAACATTATGGAAAAGGAAATACTATGGGAAAGGAAGCAAATCAATGGTCACCAGGAGTTGGGAGAGAGAAGAGGGGGCAACTATAAAAGGACCACATGAGGAAAATTTTAGGGTGGGCAAACTGTTCTGTATTATAATATTGTGGTGGTAGATACCGGACCATGTATTGGTTGAAACCCGTAGAATTGTTAAAAACAAACAAACAAACAAACAAAAAATGGACCTAAGTCACATTGGGAAACTGTTTTTACTAGATAAGGTAAGATTAAAGAAAAAGAGAAACACTCTACTTTCATTGGTACATTTGTTTCTCACAAGGGTACGGATTAACCAACATGCAATACTACACTTTCTGACAAATTTTAGGTATTGCCAGATTTCTCATTATCAGAGAAAGAAATCCCAAGTAAGCAAGGGTAAAGCAAGAATGCATTATGTGGTACTGGGTTACAGTCAAAGTTATAAGTATAAAGTCATTTTTATATATAACTATATACAGACATATAGATGTGTCTGAATACAAGTTAGATTACACAAATATAGTTCTTAGCTCCGCACAGGCAACAAGCACACCCAGTACCTAGATTTAGTTTCTAAATACCTATCTCTAGTAAAATAACCAGGGCTTCCTGACCAATTTTAGGTCTAGTGCAGTACCAGAAAGCAATCCTTATTTTTAAAATAATAGAGAGGAACAGGTAAACATTTCAAAGGGATAGGAGCCAACCTGAAAGAGCTCCCAACAGCAACGTTGAAATAATTTAAGCAAAAAAATAATGACAGTATTGAGTTATACTCAAATAACAGGATAAATAATATCTATGACCACATGCTGGAATAAAGAAATGATTGATAAAGGAATAAAACAAATCTTTCTTAACAGAATTCCAAATACTAAGTACAGAAGGAAAGAGGAAAACAGAAAACCATCATTAGAACACCACAGTAATAACTGCTTTGGGCAAGCTCCAAAGATGAATGCTAAAATGAATGGGTGAAACGCCAGGGTGAAACAGGGTATTCGCATAGCCTCAAATTATCTCCCCCATCAAATATTAATTAATATAGTGGTTTTAACAAATGTCCACATATTTTGTGACACTCCTCTCTTCGGGGGATGGACCTCTAGTTCCCACTCTTTGTGTATAAGCTGGACTTCCTTCCAACAAAACAATTTTAGGAAAGGGAAAACAATTTTACAGAGGAAAAACCTGGCAAACACGACTTTAACCAAGTCATCAAGATTAACATCATCAGTTATACTCGTCGTTATTATGTATTTCCTGATATTCCCTGAGAAGTGAACTTCATCTCCCCGAATATCTGTAACTCTGTATAATCAGGAGAAGACATCAGGCAGACTCAAATTTAGGGCCATTATACAAAATACCTGACCAGTATTGTTTGAAATCATCTAGGTCAAAAAAAAACAAGACTGAAAAACTAGCACAGACTACGGGAGACTTAGGAAACATGACCATTAGATGCAATGTTAACCTGAATCCTGTAACAGAAAATGGACATGGGTTGAAAACCTGGTGAAACCCAAATAATGTGTACACATAGTTAGCAGTGTTGTCCCAATGTTAATTTCTTTTATTTTTTTTTTGAGTTGGAGTCTCACTTTGTTGCCCATGCCTGGAGTGCAGTGGCATGCTCAGAGCCACCGCAGCCTCAACCTGCTAGGCTCAGGTGATCCTTCTGTCTCAGCCTTCCAAATAGCTGGAACTACAAGCACATGCCACCACACCCAGCTTATTTTTTTTTTTAATTTATTGTAGAGATAAGGTCTCACCATGTTGCCCAGCCTGGTCTCAAACTGTGGGTTCAGGCAATCCTTTCACCTCAGGCTCCCAAAGTGCTGGAATTATAGGTGCTATTCATAAAGCCCAGCCCCAGTGTTAATTCTTAGTTTTGATAAATGTGCCATGGTTATGTGAGAAAAGTAACAAACATCTGCCTCAGGCCAGCCATTAATTCGTCCCTTGCTCTGAAGCCATGTTTGGCTTGTCAGCATATCTTTACAAACCCCAAACTGACTGACCACAGCCCTCTGGAGGAATGCCCTGAAGACAACAGCAGGATAAAGTGCAGGTTCCCACATCCCTTGCCTTAATCACTACATTTGGAAAAAAGATAAGTTCATTAATCCTAGCCCTTACCCTTTCCTGTACATAAGATAACATCTGACAGAATTAATGATTATGCCTCTGTAATCTATAACTGACGTACTTTTGCATCCAAACTTTGATGAAATTTTGCCCTACTGTAACTTCTGAGCACATGCAGAACCTCCACCACCTGATAAACTATGGGCTGAAATACTGCTTTGGGGCAGTCTAACAAAAACTCTGTGAAGGACTCTCCCAGGTGTAATCTTCGGTAAAGTTCTGAATAAAACTAAATTTAATTCTTTAAAAGTCTGATTTTTTTTCTGTAGTTGGCAAATATGTAAAACAACACTAAGGGATAGTGGGTGAAGGGAATGAAGGGACTCTACTATTTTTATAATTATTTTGTAAATCGAAAATTACTTCGAAATAAAACATAACATATATGTTAGTAGAGAAATTGTTACCTCATTCCTTTTACTCTTGAGCTTCTATTTCCATTCTATGTCTCCCCCAAATTTGATACTAATGTAATTACATTTTTGTACAGAGAAACTTTTTTGTTATCCTTATAATTCTTGACAACTTCTGAATATCTAAATTTCCTATAAACAGAAATCTCTAAATGTTAAGAAAAAAATTTTGAATTATCATTGAAATTACTAATGGGCATTCGATCAAAGCAACATAATACATTTTAATAATCACTAGAGAAAGCACTTTTATTGAAAATGTATTGGTTAATGAGAACGATGGGGCTGTTTTCTTCCAATTAACCCGTGTATTTGTGGTTTCATGTTACTTCTTGCTACAAGGAGATAGATGACCACCCACGCCATTGTTTTTTTCCTTCCTTTTTTTTTTAAGAGATGGGGTTTCTCTCTGTTTCTCAGGCTGGACTCAAACTCCTGGGCTCAAGTCATCCTCCTGCCCCAGCTTTTCGAGTATCTGGGACTATAGGTGCAGGCTTCCTTTTTTCTTTCTTTCTTTTTTTTTTTTTGAGTTGGAGTCTCATTCCATCGCCCAGGCAGGTTGGTGTACATGGCACATTCACAGCCACCCCAGCGTCGCCCTATTGGCCTCCGGCGATCCTTCCTCCTCAGCCTTCCAAGTAGCCAGAACTACAGGTGTGCTACCACGCCCGGCTAATTTTTTGATTTATTGTAGAGATGAGGTCTCGCCAAGTTGTCCAGGCTGTTCTCGAACCCGTGGGTTCAGGCAATCCCCTCAACTTGGCTTCCCAAAGTGCTGGGATTACAGACTGAGTCATCTAGCCCGGCCATTTCTTACTTCTTATAAAGGAGATTTACACCTTATTTAACTCCTGAGAAAACTTATACATATACAAAAGTACACGGGCATTAAAATTTTTGTTATATCAACGTCACCCAATTCTTCAGATTCCTTCTTGGTTACATGCCAAAACTTGTTGAGCGACTTAGTAGTAAAAATACTTTCAACGATCTATCAGCTACGCCTTCCAACCTCTAGGAGGACAAGGAATTGAAAACATCCACAGTGGATTTGTCACCCAGACATGAGAGCCATTTGTTCTCAACCACACCAGCTGGTTTCACGACTGCTATTGGCTCCAATGGTCAAGCTTCAAGTCTAAGGTGGTTTCCGTGAAGGCCAAGACTTCTCCTCCGGCACCTTCTCAGTGTTTTCCTCTCTCGGGGACCCCTAGGGCAGCCCCCAAACACTGAAAAGACTCCAGGTGTAGAACTTCAGTATAGACAACCGTCCGCACAGGGCGACACGGGGCGGAAAGCGAAGGGACCAAGCTGCGCGAGTTTACCTGACTTCTCCAGCAAAGTACACGTCCAGGGACACCGCGACCTCGTGCTCCGAGCACGGGTCAGGGCTGCAAAAGCTGCAAAAGCGTCCGACGCCCAGTGTCCCTTCTTCAGTGACGCAAGACGCCGAGCGCGGCCGGCAGGACGCTGGCTTGGGCACGGGGGAGGGGCGCCGACCGCGAGGACGGTTGGTGATTGGATGAAGCGGCGCAGGGGTGCCTGCCAGGCCCTGCAGGGGCCGCGCGAGGCCGCTCTCGGAAGACGCTGCGCTGACCTCGTGACCCCGACGTAAAGCGGCCTAAAGCCGCGGAAGGCAGCGGAAGGCAGCAACGGCGGCCGCCGGCGCCACTCCGGCTGGCTGTCGGCCTGCAGCTGCCAGCCTGCCCGCGGGTCCGGTGGAGGGGGCAGGAAGGAGAATCTGGTGGGTGGGGGCTGGGCCAGGGCTCGGGAGGACGCCAGGCTGGGTTTTCTTTTTTTCTCTTTTTCCTGACCTTCTAATGCCCCTCACCTGGATCTCCGAGTCCATTTGCGGTCTTTTCTGCGGGCCGCAGTCCTACTCTCCTCCCCTGTGACAGAGCTGTAGGGAAGGGACTCGGGAGAGAAGAGTGTCCTGTCATGGGAACAGTTGAGGAGGGATTTGGCTGCAGTCATGTGAACGTGTGTTTAAAAGTCTCTGGTGGCTGTAGTTCCAGCTACTCGGAAGGCTGAGGCGGAAGGATCGCCGGAGCCCAGCAGGTCGAGGCTGCGGTGGCCGGGAGCGGCCGCTGCACTCCAGTCTGGGTGACGGAGTGAGACTCCGACTCAAAAAAAAAAGTCACTGGTGGAAATGTAGGTTTTTTCCAGGTTTTTTTGTTTGTTTTTAATGTGAGACAGCTAGATTTATTGAGAGGACAGAAAAGCTCCCAGAGAGGGAGGGGACCCAAGGGGGTTGCCCTCCAGAGTATTTTTAACTTACCTATTCTTTTGTTTTTCGTTTTCAGCCAATTTTATCAAGATCTGTAGGTGACAAAATGTCTGGCAACAACGACTGGTCTCAGAGTTCCCAGGTCCCCAGCTTTGCCCAAATGCTGAAAAAGAACTTGCCGGTTCAGCCCTCAGCCCTGAGGGCTGCTGCGTCTGCGGCATGTTCCTCCGGGAGTTCCTACGCGAGCCTGTCGAATATGGCCTCAAAGGTTACGCAAGTGACGGGTATGACTTCGTTCTCATTTGTAATGATGGCTTCTTTCCGATTCTGGGATGACCAGTATGTTGAGCCTCTGTTTAAATGCTTCCTGGGTGTATATGCGTTTATCCGCGGCCACGTCCCACCTGGAGCCGGGATCCGACTCCAGACACTGTGGGAGGCCTGTGGAACTCCTTCCCCAGCTGCTCACTTCACAACCCGTTACCTCCTTGACGGTTCAACCACTTCCGGTGTGTCTTGCCATTTTTGAGGTAAGGCCTCCAAAGGGACTGAACTTACACTGATTTGTAGACTATGTAGCGCTCGAGGTAATGCTAAGTATAAAGCAGGGACAAACATACTTCAAAATGCAATCGGATTCCGTGTGAAAGGTAGTATAAAATAGTGGATGGGAGCCAGAAACAGGGTTCTAGTCCCAGGTCTGTGTCATTCTTTGGTCTAGGCCTTCCTGACATCTGTAAAAACGACTTAGCCTCTGAGGACCTTGGCATCACTAAAATCCATGGTTCTTTGATATTGGTACTACTTTTTTTTTGCAGAATAGTCTCAGCACTACCAAAGATAATATGTAGGAATAGGTTGTGCTTTTGTTGTATGTGCGGAAATTGTTTAATAGAAACTTAGGAAAAGCATATGACTTGGTGTTTCTGGTACAGTCTTCCATTTCAGGGAGGATTTAGTGCTTTTGTTTTTTTGTTTTGTTTTGTTTTGTTTTAAACCAAACTGACTGGCATAAATATTTATTTCCAGGTAGTTTTCCAGAACCGTTACTTTCCAAAGGTCTTTCATCTATTTCAATTCCTGTCCTTCCTCCAAAAAAAATACCTAAGGAATTTATAATGAAATACAAACGTGGAGAGATAAATCCTGTGTCAGCCTTGCACCAGTTTGCACAAATGCAGCGGGTTCAGCTTGACCTTAAGGAAACTGTAACAACAGGCAAGTGCAAAGTTGGGTCTGGTTATTACAGTACTGGAAAATATTTTCCCATTAAAAGCAGAAGTAGATCCCGTGCCTTGGGAGGCTGAGGTGAGTGAATTGCCTGAACCCGTGGGTTCGAGACCTGCCTGTGAGACCTCATCTCTACAATAAATCAAAAAATTAGCCGGGTGTAGTAGCGTGCGCCTGTAGTTCCAGCTACTTGGAAGGCTGAGGCGGAAGGATCACCAGAGCCCAGCAGGTCGAGGCTGCGGTGGCCAGGAGCAGCCACTCCACTCCAGTCTGGGCAACAGGGTGAGACTCCAACTCAAAAAAAAAAGTAGAAGTAGAGAATAATAGTGGTGCTAAATTTGGTTCTTTCATGTAGTATTAGGGTTAGATAACTACTTGTATGTTTTGACAAGTATACTTAAAGATTTATGTTCATACTTCTTCAGCAATTTGAGCCTCTGCAAATAATTCACATATACAAAAATTTTATAATCATCAAATTGTAGTTTTTTGTGTGACTAATTGAACTGGAATTAGCCTTTTGGATTATTTTGGAGCATAAATATTTATACCATAAACATGCTTTTGTAGAGATGTTGAATATAGACATGTTGGACTTGAGCATCTTATCAAAAGAATTCTGTGATGATGGTACTTAAGAAAAATTAAGATTTAATTTGACTTCTGAAATTTAAGGATTAAATGTGAAAAGAACACTTATATGATTGGTACTTTGCAGACTTGTCTTACAATTTTTTCCATTCTCCCTTAAGCCCCCAAACAGGAGAATCTGTTACTGTATTGTACCTGTGGAATCCTACATGAGTATAGATCAGTAAAATGCAGAAAGCAGTTTCTGATCTTTTCATATCATAGCCAGAGATTGGGAAGAATTTTAGGAAAGTGGAGGAATAAGTGTTCTTAAGAGGCATTGACAACTTAAAAGTATGGGAATTCAAAAAACAATTTAAAAAGCCCATATGTGTGTATATATGTACATGTGTGTGTTTGTACACACAAATAGTTTTCTTTTGGTTTTTAAAATTTCCCTTTTACTAACTTTTGCCAGTATGGATCTCAAAGCTAACCTCTTTGCAAAAGATTTAAAGCTATCAAGATTTTAGTAAAGATTGTAAAAGCTATCAAGTATCAGGCTATTGTTTTGGGTGAAATATCAGTAAACCAGCAAAAATAGGGTCTTAACATAGAAGATGGTGCTTTTCTAAGGTAGAAGGTGGGCTTAATCTCTGTGTAACTCATTAGCTTTCCTCTGTTATTCTCAGACCGCCCTTCAAAAATCTAAGCAATTGGTCACTGTAAGAAAAAAAAATTCGATCAGGGCAAATCATCCCTGGTGTCAGCAAGCACTACTCAAAAACACGATTTATTGATTGTTAATGATATTCATTTTATGTTCAAAGTATAGTTGAATTATCAGTAGGTTTGGTAGTGAAACTACCTCTACATGTGATTTAAATCCATAGTAAAGTTTGAGAACTTGAGTTATAAACAGCCTGAAGCTTAAAAACTCAGATTTCTGATAAAGAAGACTTATTAACAAATATAATGTGGACTATCTTGTACACGAGAATCATCTGGGCCACTTTTAAATATGTCAAATGCTCTCTGGTTTACTAAATTTGGAATGGAACCTAGGTGATCATGAAGGAAGGAACTTTGGAAATTGAGGTCTTAGATTCTGGGGGGAAAGCAGTTTACCCAGATGCAGTGAAGTGTTGCTTATAAAACCCTGATGAGATATTTTTTTTTTAAAAACTAGTTAATGTAATGTTATTGTAAATGTGTGAAGAAACAAGATAGTGGGACTTATGTGTAGTAACACCGTACTAGCCATTCATAACCAACGGTTGAAGACCCATGCTCCTTCAGTCCAGATATCAACAGTATAAAACTTGAAACAGAAGAATTTTTGACCTGTAACTTTAGGAGATAATTCCATTTCATTATTCATCAGACAGACATGAAACCAAAGTAAATGAAATTAAGTAAAAGTAATCTTTTTAAAAATTAGACATATTTTTGGAAATAGATATTCAATTTATTTTTTAGTATAGGCTGGGCGCAGTGGCTGAGCCTGTAATCCCAGCACTTTGGGAGGCCGAGGTAAGAGGCCTGAACTCAGGGGTTTGAGACCAGCCAGGGCAACTTGGTGAGACTTTGTGTCTACAATAAATCACAAAAACTAGCCGGGTGTGGTGGCATGTGTCTATAGTTCCAGTTATTTACTTGGAAGACTGGGGCAGAAGGATCACCTAAGCCCAGCAGATCGAGGCTGCGGTTGCTGTGAGCGTGCCACTGCATTCCAGCCTGGGTGACAAAAGTGAGACTCCAACTCAAAAAAAACAATTATTTCGTATATCTTTTATATTTTTAATGTTTTAATTTTTGTTGTGAGTTCCCCTCCCCCCCAACAAAGATGCAGTGAGGTGCTGCTACTCTGAGCTGTAATGGGCTGAGTTGCTTACCATAATAATGTACACAGGGTTTCTTCAAAGGCATCTCTTATGTGCTGGAGCTTAAAAAACTACTAGGGCAACCTGAAGGTGGGAGAAATTGATATTTATTTGTATTGAAGTTTTAGAGAAGTGACATGCTATGTGAAATCTTCACATTTTCCTCTTGTTGGTCATTTGGCAGATACTTGAATGCTTACTATTGCCAGACATTATACTAGACACTGTTACACTACATATGACCTGTACTCTAACACTGACCTTATTGCTTACACTCAATCTGGAGCAGCCTAGCTACTAGAATCCTCATAATTAATTCAGTGGCCCATCCAGCTTTAGTTCTAACCCCTGTTAGCCCTACAAAAATACTTGTAGAGTTGATGTTTCTAAAGTAAATAGTTTTCCAGAATTTTTGTCCTGGAATGTTTTTCTATATAATACGTTGTTTACAAGATCATACTGCGAATTACCGTAGCATTCATTCTGAGTCTTTTTCAAGGCAATGTTATGGGATCGTATTTTGCTTTTTGTGCTGTGGTGGATGGCATTCAGTACAAGACTGGACTAGGACAAAATAAAAAGGAGTCTAGATCCAATGCAGCAAAATTAGCTCTTGATGAGCTTCTACAGTTGAATGAACCTGAACCAAGAATTTTAGAAACATCAGGTAAATAATCTTGATTATAAAGTATTTGTAAAATGTATCATTTTCTAGATTTATGTTAATGGAGAGTTACTTGGCAACAAGATAAAAATTGTAGAATTTAAATAATTTGTTTTAGCTTCTGTCTGCTGAAGTACTTAATAATCGTTAAAATGCTCTTGCATATTTCTAGACCAAAAGATATAATCATGTTACTAAACCATCTGTAACTTGTCAGATTGTTAATGGATTTGAGTCTTGAAGTGTGGTTTTCTCTGTAATTTATTAGATTCTTATTCAGTTAATATTACACATTTAATACTTAGAGTTTTTTAATGCAATTTTATGAAGGTTGCCTCTGTTAAGTTCAGTAAATAGTAGAGTTACTTGAGAAAAAGACATAAGATAGTGCAGCAAATAGATTAAGAGTACAAACTCCAGAATTATATTGCAGGGGTTGGAATATTGACTTTATACAGATGAGTTATTTGCCCTCTAAACTTGTTTCATTTTGACAGTGGAGTCAAGAATAGTAACTATCTTCTGTGACTGTAATTTGGTTTTGATAAGTAATGCATGCAAAGCCCTTTAGTGCCTAGTGAATAATACACAATCAAATGACAATAGCTCTTATTTTTAAATATTAATCAATTTGAAGACTATGTTAGCATTGTTATATATATTAACAGTTTTAGCCAATATTAATTTCATGCTAAATTATATTTTTGGTTTACCTGTAAATGTGGCAGCTTTTAAAAAGAAAAACATTTAAATTTGACTTAAGCAGTGACTCTAAAGCTATGCTTTTTGAATACGGATCATCATTTTATTTAGTCTGCTGAATTTTTTGTTTGGTTCTAGTGTATAAATTTCAGCCTTTCTTTAATTTCTTTCTTAATACTTAAAGTTTTTATGTTCTTTTTCTAAGTTGAATTATTAGTTCATATGTATTTTTTGTTTAATTAAAGTGACTTATTTTTATTTTAAATGTTGCTTTAAAAATGACTTATTTGGGCATTTCTCATAAGTTTTAATGTGTAATCTTTTTCATTATTTTTCGAATAGTCTATAATACTTGGACTTAATAGGCACTTAGAAGAGTACTGTGTTTTCATACTATTTTCTGCTTATTAAATTTTTAGACTTAATTAATATTTTAGAGCCAAGTAAGATTATTTTGGTAAATGTCTTGTAAGTATTGGCACTGTAAGTGCCATTTTTTCCTTATTTTATTATAATGCTTTGATTTGTTTTTTTGCATATTATTTGCCCTGCAAAGAACAATGATGCGATGAATTTACTTTGTTACAATATATACCTTTTAAATTCCATATAAAATTACATCTTTTGTCCTGTCATATATATGTATATATGTATATTTTTTGGTCTTGAAGTCTTATAGTATTACTTCTAGTTACCTTTTGTATTTATTCAATGTCTTTGACTATCCTATTTTGATTTCATGAAATTATTTTGTATCAGGCATAAAAGTAGTTTGTTTTTGACATAAATAATATTTTAATAGAAAATTTAATGTTTGCATTTATCATCATCATCATCTGATAAATATATTTTTTGTTTCCTTTTTGCCTTTTTTTGTCACATAGGCAATATTTCTTTGATTTTTTTGAATATTTGGAAGATAATGACTTTAACCTAGCAACCTACCTTTTTAATGTTAAGTCATTTTTGACAATTTTGAATCTTGATTTTATAATTGAATTATCAGCTTTTATGTTTGACCATCATTCATTCAATGTTATGCACTGTGTTATGTGCGGGGTGAACAAATAGTACCTGCTGGAGCTTAGTGACTGTGATTTGTTTCAGTTTTTGCCTTGCCTGTTTAACAGATTAATGTGAAATGCTGAATCTGCGATTAAATAATATTCTTAAGATATTCCTTCAGTATAAGAAAAGTCCTTCATATGTGATTATTTTATCTGCTACCAACCCATCTAGGTACACTATATCCTCAGTGATATTTTGCCAGTTTTCTTCCAGCCACACAGTATAGTAGAATCAATACATCTTTGTTTTGAGGATATACTGTATTCCAGGGACTGTGGTAGGTACTGGGAATCTAGAATTAGATAAGGACTGATCTCTATACTCTAGAAGCTAAAATACTTTGTTGAAATGATGTTAAAACATGACTACAGAATATTCTGAGCATCTAATGGAATTATCGGAAGAATATATTGGTTATTGTTTTTTTCATAATAAATGCTTTTCCCCAAGGGTTTTCAAAATGTTTATATGGCTATCAAGTATTTTGCCAAATGATCTTCAGTCTTTTGTTTCTAAACATTTATTTTTCCCCTCTTTGTGAAAGTGAAGGTAGCATTTACCTATCTCTGCTGCCACCACTTTTTAAAATTTTTTTTATTTCAATGGCTTTGAGGGGGGACAGATGGTTTTTGGTTACATGGATGAATTGTATAGTGGCAAATAAATCTGGGCTTTAAGTGTGCTCTCCACTGTACCTGTTGTACACATTGTACCCAGTAGGTGATTTTTTAAATTTCCCCTTCTGAGTCTTCAGTGTCCATTATGTTCTTCTATATACTTTTGCAGGTCCTTAGTTTAGCTCCCACTTCTAAGTGAGAACACGTGACATTGGGTTTTCCATTCCTGCATTACTTAGTATGATGGTTTCCAATTCCAATTCCGTCCAAGTTGCTGCAGAAGACATTATTTCATCCCTTTCCATGACCAAATAGTGTATATATGAGAGAACCCCAAAAGCCCGGAAATTTATTTATAAAAATTGCGTATTAATACTTACATATTTAAATTTCAGTCACCTTCAAAGTGCTGTTCGTTTGATATAATACACCTATCAAGACACCTTTTCCACTGCTCAAAACAGTGTTTGAACTCATCAATTTGGATGCCTTTTAGTTCTTTGACTGTTTTTTGTTTTACCTCTTCCACATCAGCAAAACGTTTCCCTTTAAGGACTTTTTTCATCTAGGGAAACAAACAAACAAAAGTTACTCGGGGCAAGATTGGGTGAATAGAGCAGATGGGGCATGAGGATCATGTCGTGTTTGGTGAAAAACTACTGAACACGCAGTGCAGTGTTGGCAGGTGTGCTCACAAATCACCCATCATGAAATGGGCAAATATGTTGAAAGAATCTCCCAGAAAAATTCACAGAAGCCAGAACACAGCCTGTCACAACAATGCTAACTGGCACACAGATGCCAATGAGTGCCGAGAACACTTGCCTAGCAGGAGAAGTCTTTACTACCAGGGGCTTGACCTCCAAAAAATAATTCTGTTTTTTGGGGGGAGGGCCTCCTCCCATATATACCACATTTTCATTATCCACTGAACCGTTAATGGACATTTAGATTGATTGCACATCTTTGCAATTGTGAACTCTGCGAGGACTTTTACATTACTTTCTCAAAAAGTGTCAATAGTGCCTTAATTAGAACTAACAGCTCTTTAATTATATGTTTTCCCTTGGTCTAGAACTTGGAAAAATAATATAGTAGGGTCACTTGTCACATATAGGAAGCTACAGTTTTTTCTTTGTCTATTCTAGACAGTTGAGTTTAAAGATTTATTTTTCTTGTAAAAGGACATAGAAGAAAGATGAGTATTTATTTCTTCTCTTTGCTATCTGTTAACATTATATTAGTTTTCCTAATCTCCTCCCCCTTGTTCTTATTTAGCGCATATAACTTTAAAAACTTTTAGTTTTTAAAAAAAATTCTGGACTTCTCACTATTTTAAAATTATTTACATGTATATCTTTTTTCATGTTTTGTGCATTATTTAAATAGAGTTTTTTCAATTAACTGTTCAGAAACCTTTCTGCTCTGATTTTCTTCAAGGGCATTGTGTCTTGTTTTTGTTTTTTTTTTAAGATTTGAGGTACAGTTCAGGATTAGGTATACAAATGTTCATTATGCAGGTATCCTTATTGATGAGTATGCCTTTCCTACCCTGACAGTTTCCCTCAACTTCCAATCCCTTTCTTATAATATTATGATAATTATTCAAGGTCCGCTTATGAGTGAGAACACGTGGTACTCTGTTCTTTGTTTCTGTGATAGATCACTGAGTATGATAGACTTGAAATCCATCCAAGTTGCTGCAAAGTCCATATGTTTGTCCTTTATGGCTACATAATATTCCACTGTGTATATATACCACATTATTTTTATCCAGTCCAGTTTTGATGGGCAGCATGGTTGGTTCCGTGCTTTTGCTGTTGTGAGCAGGGCTGCAGTAAGCATGCATGTGCAGGTATCTTTTTTGTAGAATGCTTTGAGTTTCTCCAGGCATATTCTAAATAGGGGGGTTGCTGGGTCATATGGAAGGTCAGTTTCTAGTTCTTTCAAAAATCACCACATTGTCTTCCAAAGAGGTTGGACTAGTTTGCATTCCCACCAGCAGTGTAGACGCGTTCCTTTTTCTCCACATCCTCACCAGCATCTGTTGTTTTATTAATGATGGCCATTTTTACTGGGGTTAGGTGGTTCTCAGTGTGGTTTTGATTTGCATTTCTCTGATGGTTAGTTAGGCTGAGCACTTTTTTTTCCCCAGGACTAAAATGAAAGTATGGTAAACGGAATAGCTAGGTTGTATGACAAAGGACTTGGAAAATCTTCTGAGTCTCCAACACTTATAACTCCATTTATATGCATCTTGTTTTTTTCTTCAGATCTGGAAAAAAATAAGCAATGTTTTAACAAGTGATAATTCTTTGCTTTCTTTATACAGATCCTTATAATGTGTCTGTTGACTGCCCATATATCTTCTTTTAAGAAGTGTCTATTCATTTCTTTTGTCCACTTTTTAATGGGGCTGTTTGTTTTTTTCAGTGTGTTTGAGTTCTTGTAGGTCCTAGATGTAAGGCCTTTGTCAGATACACTGTTGACAAATATTTTTTCCCATTCTGTGGACTATCTCCCTGCTCTCTTGATGGTTTCTTTTGTTTTGCGGAAGCTCATCAGTTTGATGAGGTCCCACTTGTCTATCTTATTTTTTATGGTATGGGCATTTAG